TACTTGCTTCAACGCTTGCATATATTTGAACTATTCTTATAATAGCTTTGATGTGTGTTTTATATGGTGGCTATTAGGGATGGCAATGGGTAGGGTACTACAGTACCCATCCCCATACCCACGTTTTAAAAAAATACCCGTACCCGACCCCATACCCGCGTGGGTATGAACATTAATCCTCGTACCCGTACCCTCTGGGTACCCGCATACCCGTCTTGTATCCATTACCCGCGCTTGTTTGAGAAAAAAATATTTATAAAGAAAAATATGTTTATATAACTTCACATAAGTAGCATAATAATACAAAAATTCAATATGTAGTTGCCGAATAAGGTACAAACATAGATAACAAACAAATATTCAAAGATCATAAACGTTAAATATATCTTAATATAATAATTTTCTAAACTAAAATTCTTAGAAACAATAAGCAAAACTAAACACACAAGTTATTTGTCAGTGATAATCTTATCTTGTGTGAGATTTGATTGATTGGTAATGTCAGAGCGACAACGAAATAGATCTGTACAATGGTTGTCCCTTCGTGTGGTATCATTTAGTAACTTCTTGTGACGGCATTGACAACTAATTCTAATGAATAACGTTTCATAGTTGTTAAGTTTTAGTAAGACATACATTGAGAATGAGAATAGAGTTAGAGTAGAGAAGTTCAATACTAACAACAGAAAGTGGATACATATTTTTTTTTTAACTTTTGAATTTGAAATTGTAAGAAAAATAATAGATTTAATTAAAATAATATAATATAATTAATATATATATATATATATATATTAATACTAGTATTTTTTAACTCATATACTATACGAAAGTATTTTATCAAAAATATAAATTTTTGAAAAATTATTTTAGTGAATTAAATATTTATAATATATATAAATTTTAAAAGAAAGAATTTGAATAAAAGATAAATAGTTACAATAAAATTTTATAATAAAGAAATATACGTGTATATTAAAAAAATTATACTTTTTTATCTGAAAAAAATTAATAAATAAAAATTAACAATAATTTTTTATATTTATATCTTTTCAAAAACTTCTTTGAATGTGAATAAATAGTAAGAATAATATTATTTAGATTCAATAGATTATAGTTGTGCTTGTAATAAATATGTTGCATAGAAAAATATTATTTTTAATTAAAATATAAAAAATAAAATTTAAATATTATTAATAAATAATAAGTTTACGGTAATAGTAGGTGATTGTAAAATTTATAAAATATTTATAATATATTTATTATTTATCATTCACTTTATGATTTAAACATCAATATGATTTTATTAACAAAAATATTTGTGTAAAAAATATTTTATGTGTCATATATAAATAATATTTTAAAAAAAGTCAATCTCATATTAACTATGTAATAATTAAATTGTGTTAGCCTAATGAAATGATATAAAATAATAAATAATTTTTTCTATTAAAAATATAAACCAAAATAAATTTTTTGGTTTACTTTATTATTAAATATATTTTTATATTAATCTTATATAACTTCACATAAGTAATATAATAATACAAAAATTCAATGCATAATTGTAGAATAAAGTTTAAGCATATATATATATATATATATATATATATATATATGCGGGTATGGGGCGGAGTGGGTACTTAGATACCCATACCTGCACCAATCCCCATTAAAATTTGCGGGTTTTTACCCATACCCATACTCGTACCCATATAACAGATAAATACCCTACCCATTATGGGTAAATTTTGCAGGTGCCCATCGGGTACTTTACCCATTGCCATCCCTAGTGGCTATCCTTAGCAGCAATAGTTATATGGGGATGTAACAGTGATAATTTGTGATAATCCACCTGTAATCATAATTATGGAGTAGCGCGGCTCTGCAATAACGACTTGGTACATCTCGATTCAATGTCGTGTTATGAATAACAGTCTAGAATGATAGAAATTGCAGTTCTAATCATATTTATCAATAGTGGTCATAGAGATTGAAAATTGTGCTGGAATGACACAATTTTACAACGACGATTCAGTAACGTCACGATTCAATGTGGCGCTGGAAATAACAGTCAGAAATAATAGAAATTACAGTTGTTACAGTTGCTATTTTTTTCTATGTGAAAATTCTAAATTTGTCTTTTATTTTTTTAACGTTGTAGACTTTCAAAGATCATGAGTCATGAGATTTTGTCTGAATTTTCTTCCTCCCTCTTGTAAGCCGTAGCTTTGCAACTCTCTTCTTAGCTCTCTTCTCATTTCATTTTTGTTCTTTATATTTTTATTGTTGGAGCGTGATATTTATCTTCAGTGAGACTTTTAACACAAAAAGTAAGTTCTTCGATTATTTTTTTTAATCTCTGATAAAGCTTTCAACATGATCCAAACTATTTTAAGTTATTTTTTTAAAAGTTAGCGAAATTTCTAAAGTTACTTAGACACTTTTCAATTATCTTTTATAATTTTTATGAATTACATATTTTTCATTGACTAAATATTTTTTCTATTTTTTTTAATTTTAATTTTTCTACTTTATTCTTTTTCAAATTTCAAAGATAAAAAAAAAAAAAAAAAGCAATGCTGCTCCTACTAATCAGTCACAACAGGAACCGCCTCTATTTCATCACGTGCATTAGACAGAGAATAAATTTTTTGACAATTTAAATTTTTTTATTCATGTGACTTTTGCCTTGTTAGTTAATGAATTTTATATTAAATATTGAATTAGTTTTATTTTTCTCTGCTTTATTTTTGCTGTGTGATACTGATGAATTAATATTTTTTTTTATTGAAATACGCAACCAAACAAAACCAAACCAGCAAAAGTTCGTTGTGGACAATTGTGAGTCCGAAGCAATAGTCCCACCCTCCTCGTCTCTTTGACATGGCTTACGTAGTTCTATGTGATAAATAATTAGAGATAGTTAATAACTTAAATATGTTTTCATTTTTATATTTTCGTGAGATTTTAGTTTTTTTTAATTTTTACTTTTAGGAATTTTTTTATTTTGAGTCTTTCCATCTCACTTTGTCTCATATCTCTTTTGTCATTATTTTTTTTGTAAAAATAGTAAAATTTGTTTAAATAAAAATTAAATTGAATGTTCAGAGTGATTGAAAGATAATTTAGATCCTCTTAGTTTATAAAGATAAATATATATTATTTATTTATTTAATGATGTCTAATCATAAAACGTTGTGCATGCATATGTACGTTACGTTGCATTTATCTGGCATTGCAACTTTTCGCTTCAAGCATCAATCTATCTACAAATTGAAACAGCTAGAGTTCTAATGATTCACTCTTCGTGAAAACTTGCGTCTAACAAAAGTTACTTTTGCAAGTTGCTTCTAAGAAAATTACAAGTTGAATATTATTATAACTTGCTGCTTTTATAAGTAACAATTCCGTCCTTCAGACATGATTCAATTAATGGATTATCAGAATCGTGCATGTGGATTCATTTCATAAGATATCATATATACTTGGTAAGCTTGTTCTTAGCTGTCTCATGTGATATGTTATCCCATTGTTGCAATGTTTGGACATATATAGCCCGCTGGCCACCTCAACAGCTAATATAAAATTATTAAATTTTATTTGGCTGCAAGTTTGGACAAAACAAGTTGAAGTTTAAAGTTTGGATTTTGATACTCATAAATTACAAAAGATAACTTCAAAAAAATATATCATTATGCAATTTGGTTTGATGGCAACTTTTGACTAAATCGTTTCATAGCAGAAAGAAGTCTTAGCTTTGGTAACTGTAATAATGTACTTTTTCAAACATGTTTGACTAATAATTTACATGAAAATACTTCAAGGCTTAGTTCGAAGGTTTAAAGAAAAAGAAGAAAATGTTTAAAGAATTAGAGAGATAAAAAGAAAAAAAAAGAAAATTAATATAAAATTTTAAAAATTTAAAAATATAGCATTAAGATGTTTTATAAATTCTCTTTTTTTTCAAAAAAAAAAAACTTCTAAACAATAATAGCTATTTTAAAAGTTTTTCTTTTTCATTTTTTTAAAATTAACTTTCAAATAAAGTTTTATAATTTTTGTACGATAAAAGTGATTTTTTTTGTCTTTTGAACAAAATTTAGTTTTAAGTGCTTTGATAAGTGTAAATGGACGTTTCAGTATCCGCCAAAGTATTTTCAAACAAGCATGAAATTATAAAATTAATTTAAATGATAATGTATAGTAAGAAAAATTAGGACAAAAAAACAAATATTCTGCTAAAAGACAAATAAAGATACCAACATTAAATAACTGTATACAAATAAACTTTTTTACAAAAGTAAAAAAGAAAATATATAAAATAATAATATAATAAAAAATAATATAACCAACACATATACACTGCACTTGATCCAAAAGTCCTTGGCTGTACTTTAAAGATAAGCGGAGTGTCAGTTTGATATGGTGTCGCTTTCCATATCTGCTAGTATTCCGTTTGGCTTTCTCTTGTATGCCAGATTCCTTTTTCATAACACTAAATAAGAAAACACGATAATATAAGAATTAGGTCTGTGTCTTATTATAAAGTTAGTGCCTAATCATCAAATTATGAATCATGAACAGTTAGTTAATTACATGAGGTGGGATAAAGGAAAGGCATAATAAAATAATAAATAGGATGCAATAATGGACCCATTCCTTTTAACCACCTTAATTATTGTTGTCACAATGTCACTATTGTGAATTCATTAATAATGGGATGTTGCATGCTTCCAAACTTGTGTTCCATATCAGGTAAAATCCTTAACCGCTTATCACTTACATACCAAATGAAATCAACATAGATAATTGAATTCTAACCTGTTTCTTATATATAAACAGTGAATTATTGCTTTGGAGATTGTAGCTTAGGTAAGTAATTAACAATTGACATGAATAATAACGACATAAAGTTCACTTAGAACAAGCTAAGTGGGTAATCATCAAAGCCAAATTTGGCCAATCATTTGAAGTCACCGGCAGACCCACACAACCGGTTATTGAGCCAATGCAAGAAGCCGTGGCCTCAATGCATCTTTCCAAAACCGTGTCCCACTTCCCTCTCTTCTTTCCCTTCTCTTCACCTCAACAATAACCACCTCATCCGTTAACCGGTAAACCCCGACCACAATCACGAAATTACCATCCAACCCCTCTATCCTCACTCCGCAACCGCTCTCTTCCTTTTTCACCGTTAATTTTTCCGACACCGCCACTTCCTCCACCGTTACCGTGACGCTCTCCGGCACTACCCTTGTAACAAACCGCTCCGTGGAATCCAAATATTCCGGGTCGGTAACCAAACCCGACATGTCAAACCCGGATGAGAAACTTATCAAGTGAAACGCGTTCAAACTTTTACTCACAGCCCGGTTCTCTTCCCATTCAAATTCCTTGGGCCGGGTCAACGTGTCATTATACCCGCCCCGATTAAACCACTGGTCTTGCATTATCTCATCTAACGATATTCTCGTCCCGGGATTCGTGTCTAACAACCTAGATACGAGATTTTGAAGATCAGGCGATATCCATCTCGGGAACCTGAACTGTCCTCTGTATATTTTTCTGTACAAAACCGTAATATTGTAATCATTGAAGGGCAAATATCCAGCGCTCAGCACGAACAAAACGACACCGCATGACCAGATATCCACCTTCGCACCATCGTAACCCTTTCTCGCGAGAATCTCAGGTGCCACGTAAGCAGGGGTCCCACAGACGGTGTGAAGCATTCCATCGACTGGGATCTGGCTTTTCAAAGCGCTTAACCCGAAATCCGAAACCTTGAGGTTCATGTTTTCGTCGACGAGGAGGTTGTCCAGTTTGAGGTCGCGGTGGTAAACGCCGCGGGAGTGGCAATATTTCACGGCGGCGATCAGTTGCCGGAAGTATCGCCGGCTGAGCTCCTCGGTCAGGCGTCCCTCGCCGGCGACTACGTCGTAGAGCTCTCCGCCGCCGGCGAACTCCATGACGAAGTATATCTTCGTCTTGGTGGCGAGGACCTCGTAGAGCTTCACGGTGTGCGGGTGGCGCAGCCTGCGCATGATAGCAACCTCGCGCTCGACGTGGGCCGCATAACCGTTTTTCTCTACCTTGCGCTTGCTAACGGCCTTCACCGCCACGCTCTGCGAAGTGTTGACGTTCCGCGCGTGGTACACCTTTGCGGACGCGCCAACGCCTAGTAACTTAAGCAGCTTGTATTTCCCGAATAAAACGACACCTGTTACTGCCTCGTCGTTTGGCAACGACGAGTCTTTCTCTATTCTTGTGTCTGTAACGGTGCCTTTTTTTGCTCCTTCCATGGCCTCAATTTACTCACTCGAGTTGGGGTTGAGAGAAACAGAAAGTAGAAAAGCAGTTAAACTAAAAAGGTAGTCATTGGAAATGGGAATTTGAGTTTGATATAATGAATGGGGAAATAAAACCGTGCAAGGGAAAGTGTTAGTTATGGTAAAGTTTGTTCGGTGGGTTTTGCAAATATAATGTCTTGCAAGGAACTTGTTTTGAGAAGAAGGAAGAAGAGAAGCAAGCGATGCGATGCAGTAGGGAATTATGGAAGTGGAGTGTGGTGTGGTACCATGGTATTGCCTATTTAAGGTTTAAAAATGACCCTGCTAATGGAGCTTAAAACATATAATACATTAGTTAATCACCATTCACCAACAATAATAATACTTTGAAGAGGATAACAAGTGCAATTAACTTGTCATTACAGTCTCGTGTAATTGATTTTTTCAATGAATTAATATTATAATTAAAAATGTAAACTTCAATATATAAAATCACTTTAATTTTTAAAAATAATAACATTTTATTAAATAACCTAACATACATTATATGGTAGTGATATATATTCATTCATAAAAAATACTTATATTTTCTGAGGTTAAATGTATACTCATTAATAGCGAAATTTTATATAAGGTTTTCCATAAGGAAATACTAGATATACGCACTATCTTATATATTACTTTTCTAGTTCATTCAATTTCTTAAACGTTAAATTACCTTTTACATGTATATCTCATCTTTCACAGTGTTTGGAGCAGCACCAATCTCCAAGCTCCAGCTTCATTTCCTTGAACAAATCAAGTAGGTATCAACCGTATAATAAAAATAATAATTGGAATGATATTTGCAAATTATATTAAATTAAATTCATTTATGGTTAAGGAAGATTGTGACCAATGGTATTCATGAAACAATGTTTAGGCGTAGGCGAGGACGAGGACGTACGACAAACGGACATGAACTAATTAAGAATACATATATAACAGAAAACAAAAGTATATATAATTTTTCAATCATATTGAGTTTTTTATATATAATTATTAAAAAATATTTTTTATTAAAATTTATAATATTTAGTATCATTAATATATGAAACCTTGTAATATTTAAAATTATAATAGGTAATTATTTATTATGAGATTTTAAATGATTAATTGAAAATAATCAAACATACAATGATGGCAGAAACAGAGGGGTTACATGGTGATTTGGATTTTGGCAGTACGATTAAAAGAGGGATGAATTGACTCTTGTAGGATAAGGAGAAGGAAGCACGGAAGTTATGATAAGAGGACACGTAAACAAAAAGTGCACACTCTCTGCACCATAACACGTGTTATCTGCCCTCCACTTGTCAGTCCAACACCGGGAATAAAATTATTTCTTTTTCTCTCTTCATAGATCTAGTTTATTAAGCATAAAAAAAGAAATATAAAATTTGATAAAAATATAATAAATACATTTTATTTTATTTTAAATATAATATATATTAAAATAATAAACAATCTTTTGAACATATGCTTTGTTGGGTAAAGCCAAATGATATGGAGAGGATTTGTTGTTGTTATACATAACTGATAGAATAATGTTTTTAATATATTTTTAACACATTTTTTATTATTAATAAAAATTTATTAAAATTTATAAAAATTATGTGAATCTTTATTTTTTATATTTTTAAATTAATATTTTTTATTTTTTTAACTTTAAAAGAATAATTTTATAATAGTCATTGTATAATAAAAGTTACATAATAGATTAAAGAAAATTGTTCTACTTAATATTATAATAATTTGAATACAAAAATGCATTCAACACATGTATGACAAATATACCATATCAAATAATACTGATGATGTATTAAAATTGTCAGATTTGTTAAATAATGAAAACTATAATTGAATTTTAGATGAGTTATGGAAGTGATTTATCAAAGACTTGTGGTTAATGTAGAGTTTGACCAAGATCGAATAATTGATTCTGAATCATGTTTAAAAAAATATAATAAAAATTTATATAAAATTTATAAAATATTACAAATATTTGATGCATTTAAAATATTAAATATTATTTTTTTATAATTTTTTTTACTGTATAAGTTTTAAAATTTTTATATTTAATCTGAAATTTTTATTTGATTTGCGTTTAATTGTTAATAAAATAATAAATTATAAGAAATTAAATGAAAGATTAAAAAGATCTTATCCTTTTTTTTACCTAATTTAAATAAAATTACTTTCACTGAAAAATATTGTAGTATAAATAAAAAATATTATAAATTTTAATAACAAATTAATATTTATTAATTATTATGTGTATTAGAAAAGATAACACATCTATAAAATAAACTTATTATGTTTTGTTGTTTAAAAAAATATAAAAATAAAATATCATATTATACTCTTATTTTATTTTATTTTTAAAAAAGAGTCTTCATAGAATATGATTTATTTTGAATTTAATATTTAATAAGTAGTTATATAGATAAAATAAAAAATTAAATGAATTAATTTTTTATATAAATTGAAATTTCTAAAATTTTTTAGAAGTTTTATCATATAATTTTCTATAACTTAAGATGTATGAATTTCTTTTAACTTAAAAATTATTTATTTTGTTTACAAATACTGCTTTTTTAAAATATTCTCAAACTGATTGCATATTTTATAATATTGGCATTAGAGTGTATAAAATTATCCTTCTACTTAAAAATTTTATATAAATAAAAGGTAAGAATTATCAAATTTAAAATACTAATTGAAAAACAAAATTCTTTTGTTGGAAAAATAATATTAATAACAAGAAAATAAGGACTCGATCCAACTAGCAAAAAATTATTCAGGAATACGAAACGGGGAAGTTTCCATCACATGTTGCGGTAAAATACATACGTAAATATGTTATTTGGAATTAGAAAACAAAAAGCACCTTATTGCATAAATAATTCATACGTGTTTATTAGATTAAAGTTTATTTGTTAAAAATGTTTGATATTTACTCTTTTTATATAAAAGAATGATGTTATAATTTTAATTTTTTTTAAAATGTTCAAAATTTTTAAATCTAATTTATATACTCTCATATTTATTTCAAACATCTTTTTGTAACAATATTCTTTTGTTTTTCTAAAAGTCTGCTCATTATTGAAGTACTCACTAGTATTATCTATTTTTTTCTTTCTTTTTTAGCTTAATTATTCGTTTTATTTAGTTATTATGATTAATGTGAAAATTTAGTTCTTTAATAATTTTTTACTTGAATTTATCTGCTATATCTTATTTAACACTAATGTATACATTTTTTAAAAATAATTAATTTTACAAATTATTATGATAAAATAATTTTATTAAAATATTTATATTTTTTGTCTAAACCATGTATCCTTGGTTAGAGCTAAACATGACCAGATTTCAAGTATTTAGTACAACTACATTTAATAAAACTTAAATTTAAAATTATAAATTAAACTAAAATAACTCTTACTAGTTGAATCATATAATAAATAATATTATATTTCTATTAAAAATACTATTAATTAATTCACGTGATAAGTGATATCATATCTCTAACAAAAATACTTAAGTCATTACAAGTTAGCAAACAAATAAAAAAAATTTATGAAAAAAATACATAATTATTATATTAAAATTATAAAAATACAATAAATACTTATCTTTCTAATAAATTTTTAATATTATTAACTACTTATCTAAAGACTGAGATTAACAAAATCAAATAAAAAAATAATATTAAAATTATTGTAGTAGTTAGTTGAAAAATAATAATAATTATAATTAATAAATAAAGATATTATTAAAAATTAATTAATACTTTATTGTATTTTAAAGTAATATGTAATTTAAGATAAATAAAAAATATTTAAGTAACATTTAACATGAGATAAAAAAATAATTGAACAATAAATAATAATTTAAAATTTTTCTTTTTAAACTATAAATATCTTTATTGGAGTTAAGTTGAAACAATATTTACATAACGATATTTAAAAGTTTTTGAAACTAAAAAATTAATTAAATTTAATAAAAATACAGGACATAGAGTTTGGGTTTTATTTTGAATAAAATATAGACTTAAATTATACATATAGTTTCCATATTTTAGTAATCATTCATATTTTAAACTTTGTTTTTTCAAAACTTTTATGTTACTACAAATGATTATCGTTTCCTAGGTTGATCATAAGCCTAGTTTGACCCAACTACCTTGGTCCAATAAACATAGGCCAACCCACACTGTGTAGCCTTAACTCGTGGAGGAGGACCAGAAAAATGTACAAAGCTAATATGCATACTTAAATCGAAGTCGTAGATAAAAAACAAGTCAAAGTCTGCAAGAACAAAAAAACTCCACAGGTTAGAGTAGTTATCCTATAGGTCAAACCACTAAATTAAGAGAAAAAAATTTGTCCTGTAAGCACTGCTAGAAAATTTAAGGACATCAATATTTCAATTAAAAAAAAGCATTTAGGGATAAGAATTGAAATGAATTGAACCTAATTCAACCTAGATTAAGAACATGGTAATTCAACTCAAAACATGACGATCAAGTCTAATACCAACTATTTATTAGCTCAAATTCAAGTTGTTTCAAGCTCACTATAAAATTCATTTTAGCTTGTTCGGTCAATTTGCCTTATCGCTTTTATACAAAGAGAGTATTTAACTTAACAAATATAATGTTATAGTAAAATATTCTTACTTTTGGTATGATATTATTTAAATTTGTTAACTTATTCGTATTTTTTTTATTTTGATTTAGTTTATTCAATTGTTTTATTTTATTTTTTTAGCTTTAATTGAATTTATTAATTATGATAATCAATAAAATATCTTCATAAAGCGTATAATTTCGTTTTGTGAACATAAACGATGATCCAAATAAGTGAAGATATAATTTATGGACACTGCAGAAGACAGACACACTGACCACGGAATCATGTGCGCCCTCTGCATCACCGTTGGTTACCTGTTAAGAGCATATCCAATTTCATATTAAAAAAAACCCCTACCCAGTTAATTCACATTCTCCGTAGTGAAAAGCATTATCTTTTATTTAAGCAATTATTATGTTTTAAGATAATTATATAATTTTTTAAATTTATAATGTTAAATTATTTAGTAAATTTTTTAAGTCTAAATTAGATTAAGAAAATCTTTTAGATACTAAATTCTTTTAGGCCATGAAAATTCATTTTTAATAATCTTTAAGGGGATTAGTTTTTTTTTTATCATACTAAATGATTTTTCTACCTTATGTATTACTTTTTTATCTCAACCGGGCAGTCGCAACAGTATAGCGAAAAGATTTTTAAAAATATCAGAGGAGTCGCCACTAAAATTTATTTTAAGAAAACATTAAAAAAACTTAAAAATGATACGACCTTTGAAACTAAAAATGAGTTTGGGAGTCATTTAGTGTAGGGAAGGTATTAACACCTTACAACGTCTGTTTAAAAAACGGTTACTTTGAATTAATTGTACAAATTTATTTTAATTTTGAAAAATATTTGTTTAACTCCTAAACTATTATTATTATTTATTTATTTTAAAAAAATTATTTATTAAAATATTAATGGATACCTTAAAAAATTATTTTAAAAATTGTTTTGACTTGACGGGTCCGATTCTCCCTATACATATTCCCGAGTGCATTGGATAACTCAAAGTCATGTAGTTCTGTCTAAAAATTATGAAATTTGTTGATTGAAATTAGGTTTAGTAAAAGAACATTTATTTTAAAATTAAAATTATTTTCATAAAATTATAATATTTAGAATACAAGATAACGCGGTTATACATATACCCTACGAGAAACAATACAGAAGTAAGATTATACAACTATATTGCAAATCGTTAAAATATTTTATTCGTAAACAAAGTATTTGAATTTTAATTTTAATTACGATTAATGTTGGAAGAAAATTTAAGATAGCGTAAGCTATACATAAATTTCTTATAATTTATTGGACAATCGAAGGTAATGTAAATTACACATTGATACTGCAAAAATTTATGGTAAAATGAAGAGATGATTGGTTACTTGATTTATTAAATTAGAAGTATGATTTAAGAAAATTTAAAATATGAAATTAATTTTATTAATAAAATGAATAAATATATTTGCATTGATTAAAAATTATTTAATAAATAAAAAAAATTTAAAACTTTGTTTGATAAATTTATGTTGTATAGAACCTAAGGTAATGTTGATACACATAAGTTCTAACAATTTATAATGCGTAAAGGTAGAGTTGCTACACAATAGCATTATAAATTATTGTGTTAATAAAATAAATTCTATTTAAACTGATTGATTAGTAAAATAATAATTATAGAGAATATGTTTTAATTAATTATTAAGATAATAAAAATTTTAATAACATATGATAAATTAATATTGTTTAAAGCATCGGTAACATAGGTACATGTAGGCTTTATCAATTTACAACATACGGCCGTAGAGAAGATACACGTTAATGTTGTAAATTGATAAAAATATTATATTAAATTATTTATTTAATAAAATAAATTAATTAAAAATATATTTAATATTCATTAAATAAATTGAGACAAAATATCACATCACATCAATATTCTAAAATAATAAAGAAAATGATAAAAAAGACAAACAACTAAAAAAAAAACAAATGAAATAGATACAAGTAAAAATTCAAACAGTTTTGTGAAAAAAATTTATTATTGTATTTATATTATTTAAATATCTTGTAAAGTTTTTAGAGAAAGAGATAAATCTTATAGGCAAAAATAGGAGTTAAATATAATATGAAAATAAATAAAGAAAGAAAATAAAGTAACATGAATATATATATATATATATATAAGAAAATATTTTCACTAAAATAAACTCAAGATAGATAAAAAAAAAAATAATCAATAAATAAATACAAACTAAAAAAAAGTTTACTTTTTATGTTTTCTTTTTTACTAAATAATAAAAAAAAAGAACCCTATAATTATCCTAAATGAGCTATCTAAGTTCAAGAAATTAAAAAAAAAAAAAAAGGGAAAATGGTGCCAAATTGATGGCGCGTTTGTTTCTGAATAAATTTGCGTGTTTCAATTTTCAACATGATGTTTTGGGAGCAGCACTTTAGCTTTCGGCAGAGTGCATCAAATCAACTTTTATTATTATAATATAACATATTATATATAAAAAAAAGGACAAACAAACTTAATAAAGTAGCCGAAGATTTTTATTAAATAGTTTCTATCTTACTCCGCTCACGTGTAAAAACTCAAAATATAGTCTAACACTTGAGTTTGTGAGTGAGAAAAGAAAAAAAAAACTGTGATGCAGTGTACAAACTCTAGATTTGAACGGTAAAGGAGGATGATGAAATATTTGAAATGGTGTAATTTTTTTTCTCTTCTTTTGGTATTTAATTTCTTCTTTTTCTTCTACTCTTTTGTTCTTTCCTCTAGCTATATACTCTTTCGCTTTGTATTTATTTTTCTCTTTTTTTGATATCTCTCAAAGACATTTGTTGTCTTTTTTAAAAATTTTGTTCTCCCTCTCTCAAAAAAATTGGTTGCCGTGTCCTCTCCCTTTCTGAAAGCTTGTTACCTCCTCTTCAAAAAAAAAATTCCAAAGAAAAAGTTTTTCCTTTTTATATTTCTTACTTGAGTTTTTATACCTCCTTCTATTTAACGGTTTAAGATTTTTTACAAAATGCCAAAATTTTGAGTTTTCCTTTCTTGTGTATGAAGTAAGTTTTGAAATTTTAGTGTAAGCCTGCACGGTACAAGGCTTCTATTTCCATGATTCGGTCTCTCTTTTTTTTCAAAATTTTATTTTATTTTTATAAATTAAAAAAAATTAGAAGCCATCCTAGAGATGCAAAAATTGGTATTCACATTTTTCAACTTAATATTAATTTAAATTTATATTTTGATAATTTATTTAATCTTGTTTAATTGAATTTTTATTATTAATAATTATAATTTTTTAAATTTAAAAATAATCATATTTTATATCTTTAATTATTATTTTAAAAAATAAATTTAATGATACTCAGACAATGTAAAAAGAAAGAAATATCAATTTTGTAAATATTTTTTGATCCACACTTAATTTCTAAACCTTATTAAAATACTTATACTTTCAGGATTTTTATTTTTTTTTTAATAATGGTGAGATTAAAATTTCAAAATTAGCCTAATAGCACTTATATCAAATATTGAAATTGAAATTTAGAGAACCATAGCCATATAACAATGTTTCAAAACATAACAATTATTAAGACACCTAGTATGCTCATTCAAAATGTATACTAACGAAAAAACTTTATGCACTGCTAGAGTGTTTTTGGACTCCAAGACTCTTTCTTTCGTTTCAACAAAGTGTGGAGAGGCACTGCTAGGGTTCTTGCCCTAGGGCCTCTATGCTTTTATCGTTCTCTAAGCCTGAGTCCTTTGTGGAGAAGGACTTTTTGCGATCTTTCGATGCTGATTTCTTGCCACCGCTCCAGTGGCTTTTGAAGGATGGAGTGCGACGAGGTGGAAAAATGATCCAGTGATGGGGTAGATCTAGATGGCCGAAACTCGAAGAAGGTGAAGACTGCTTTAAATGTGTTTTCAGATCCATTAGAGGGTTATATGCAAGAAGGTCCTGGCCTTGAGGCTTTGACGACTGATCAGGTATTTTCTGTTTATAATCCTAACCTTTCTGAATATTCTTCTTATAAGGACAAGGTGCTAAGGTCTCGTGATATTGATCTTGTTTTAAATGATGATGATATTGTAAAATTGATATTGGATGATTTGAATGTTCCTAAGTCAGATGAACATAATGAATCTTCTTCTATGCCTCAAAATCTTTGTCCCCGATATCAAGATCCCTTTAGAAGATTACGAGGGGTGGTGTAATCCATGGAAATTTACTATGATAGTTAAGCTCCTAGGTAAATCTGTTAGCTATAATTTTCTTAGTCAAAGACTAAATAATATTTGGGGGGAAAATGGGTTGTTAAAAATTTTAGATTTTAGCAATGAGTTTTTCCTAGTTAAATTTGAGAACTTAGATGATTACAAATTTACTTTGTTTGATGGCCCCTAGTTGATTCTTGACCACTATCTTTTGGTGCAGAGGTGGCGACTTCTCTTTAGGACCAAAGATTATTTCCTTAGGAAAATTGCAGCATGGGTCAGAATTCTTGACCTGCCATTGGAATTATATAACAACAAATTTTTGTGGCAGGTTGGTGCTTACCTGGGGTCCATGCTTAAAATAGACCCCTATACCTCTTTACTGTCTAGATGGAAATTTGCTAGAATTTGTATTGAGATAGACCTTAAGAAGAAATTGGTTCCTGCTTTTAGGGTCCTAGGTCAGGAATTTAAGATAAAATATGAGAGTTTGCATCTAATTTGCTTTTCCTATGGTAAGTATGGGCATAGACAAGAACAATGTGTAGATATGACTAGGAACAATCATCCTGATTTAGGAAATGAGAGGACAAATACTAATAACTTACACAAATGTGAGGATAACATTGAGGGTAAGTCAAGACTGAGTAAGGATATGGATTTAAATAACCATGTAAATGGAGATGAGAATCAGGAGAGCCAGTTTGGTCCCTGGATGTTAGCTAAGAAACAATTTAGGAAAAAACTCAATTCCTCTTCCTCTATTGAACCTATTGTTAAATATGGAAAATCTAAAGACTTAATCTTAGGATCTCGATACAATGTTTTAGATACCAATGTAGAGGATCAATCTCTGGTTCTAGGAGTTAGTCAGAAAAAGATATCTGAAGGTTACCCAAGTAAAGCTCTCACCTCTAAGGATTTAGCTGCAAATAAGCGAATAGGTAAGTCTGTTAATCACATTAAATTGGGGGATCAAGCTAAGAAAGGACCTAGAGGTAAGATTATCTCTAGTTGGGCCAAATCTGCCCCAGAAGAAGAAGGTGGTGGCTGTTCTGGTATGACCACCACTACTAGCAATTCCCATGAATTTTGCAATAATGGTTCTAGTCAAGATAATATGGCAGCTTCAAGACTTATGTCTACTTTTGCAAAAGGCCTTCAGGATAATAAGAATCTAAGGTATAGTATTCAGGATATTATTGGCCTAAATTCTGATTCTCTATGGAGGGGTAGGGACCATTTAGCTCATATCCCTCCTGATAAACCTCCAGATCCTCCCCTGTTAATGGAATTAGATAATTCTAGTAATGATGACAATAAAAAGGCTAATCCTATAGGTATTGAAAGTAGTGTGTTAAGAGTTGTCCAACATCCTGATGATGTATCAAAATCTTCTTATTAATTCTTTATGAATTGCTTATTTTGGAATCGTAAGGGTGCAGGGGGGAAAACCTTTTCTAGACTTATTAATGATCTCATTAATATTCATAGTCTTGAGTTTATGGCCTTGTTTGAAATGCAAGTCAATTCTATTAAAGCTGATTCTATCATTAAGAAATTTAACCTAGATAGTTCTCTGGGGGCATATGGTGCTACTGAAATTCTAGGAAAATTAAAGTTGACAGATTAGATAAGAACAATTATTTTATTCACTCGAAAATTCAAAATGGTCAGAGTGATTGGGTTCTCTCTGTTGTTTATGTCAGTCCTCAAGAGGGTTTGAGGGCTAAGTGCTGGGAATTGTTTTCTGAATGTAGATCTACTATAAATTGTCCTTGGTGCCTTGCAGGGAATTTTAATTCCATTCTCTTTGAAAATGAGAAGTTTGGAGGCAGACCTGCTAACCTGAATCTCATGAGACAGTTTGCTGATTGCCTTAACTTTTGCGGCCTCCAGGATTTGGGATTTAAAGGAAGTCCCTTTACTTGGCAAAGAAGTAATATTAAGGAAATGATAGATAAAGTTGTAGTTAATGACTCTTGGAGGATGCTTTTTCAAAATAGTTTCCTCATTCACCTTCCTATACCTAAATTTGATCATGTAGCTTTATGGTTGAGAATTAAAAATAAGGATAGTTGGGTTCCTAAGCCTAAACCTTTTAAGTTCTTGACTCCTTGGCTGTTCCATATGGATTTTAATATCCAAGTAAGAAATTCCAGAATTAATTCCCGGTCTTGGGTTGACAATATTGCTAACTTTACTAGGAATATATCGGATTAGAATCATAATGTGTTTGGCAACATTTTTAATAGGAAAGGAGATTGTTAAATAGGATTCAGGGAATACACTGTAAGCTATCCTTTCAAGATAACCCTTTCCTTAATAATCTGATGCTTTCTTTGTGGAAAGAATATCAAGAAATTATGAACTATGAGGAAGTTTTCTGGGCACATCAGTATAAATCTAATTGGCTTAGGCTGGGAGACAGGAATAATAGATTTTTTCATAGAGCTGTTATCAATCGTAGGTTTGCTAATCAGATTAGTACCCTTAGAAATAAGGATAATTATTTGAAATTTGATCCTCTCAAGCTTCAGGACCTAGCTGTTAGATATTTTAGGAATTTATTTACTGATCATAATCCTTATAGGTGTTCTCTTTATATTGTTTCTAGGTTTCCTATTCTTAGGGCAGAAGATAACTTAGTTTTAAATGTTGATCTGTCTTTAAATGAAATTAAAGTTGCTCTGTTTAGTATAGGCAATATGAAAGCCCCTGACCCTGATGGTTTACATGCTCTATTTTTTAAAAATCAGTGGGAGGTTTTGGCCCTTTTTATTTGTAAATTTGTATCTGATATATTTGATAACCCTAGTAATATTGCCTCTGTTAATGATACAGCAATTAACCTTATATCTAAAATTAATAATCCTGATTCTCTTAAACAATTTAAACCCATCTTTTTATGCAATGTTAGTTATAAAATTATAACCAAACTCTTAGCCAATAGAATTAGAGGTACTTTGCCTCATATCATTTCTGCCAGGCAAACCAGTTTTATTCCTGGGAGGCAAGGCATTGACAACACTATTATCTTGCAAGAGTTGTTGCATTCTATTAATACCCTGAAGGCTAGTAGTAGGTTCATGGTTATTAAGATTGACTTAGAAAAGGCTTATGATAGGCTTAGGTGGCAATTTATTGCAGATACACTTAAGAACATAGGTTTCAGTTAGAAGTTGTGTGATATTATTAGATATTGTATGTCCTCTGTATCTATATCTTTAAACTGGAATGGTTATAGGACTGAATCTTTTAAACTTGGCAGGGGTATAAGGCAAGGGGATCCCATTTCCCCTTATTTATTTGTCATGTGTCTTGAGAGATTTACTCATCTTATTCAGGATAAAATTAATAGTGGTTGCTAGATTCCTTTTTCTGTTAGTAATAGGTAGGATATCTCATTTGTTTTTTGCTAATGATATTATTTTGATTGCTAAAGCTAATAATTCGAATGCTGGGGTTATTTCTGAGGTTTTGAATGAATTCTGTTATGCTTCTGGGTTGTCTATCAATAAAGATAAATCTTGTGTATTTTTCTAAAAATTGTGATATTGGTCTGTCTATGGAATTAAGTACAAAGCTTGACTTTAAATATTGCTCTCAATTTGGTAAATACCTTGGAATCCCAATTAGTAATTTAAAATTATTAAGACATGATTTTGCTTTCATAATTGATAACATTAGGGAAAAAACTTTCTGTTTGGAAAATGAATTCGTTATCCCTAGCTGGTAGAGTTACCCTTGCTCAGTCTTGTATTATGAGCATCGATAATTATTTTATGCAAACTGTCCTTTTTCCTAAATCTGTTTGTAAAGAAATTGATACTCTTTGTAAGAATTTTATTTAGGGATCCTTGGAAGGTAAGAAATGTCATTTAATAGGTTGGGATAAAATTTGTAGACCCAAAAGTGAGGGTGGCTTGGGTTTCTGAAGGATTGCTTTGGTTAATCAAGCCTTTATCATAAAGCTATGGTGGAGGCTTATTTCTTGTTCTTCTGAATTATGGTCCCAGGTCATGTGTAAGAAGTACAAGTTTTCCTTAAGCAAAGTCCTGTGATTAATATTAATAATAAAACCTCCCCCCTTTGGAAATCTATGACTGCTGTTTGGGGTTCCTTCTGTCAAGGATTGGGTTGGTCCTTAGGGAATGGGATGATTGCTAATTTCTGGAAGGATTTTTGGCTTTCAAATTACCAAAATCTGTCTCAATATGCTATGCATCCTTTTGGTAGAGAAGTTTTGAATGAACCTGTAGCTTCTTTTGTTCTTCAAGGTAGATGGGATTGGAATAGGATTCACCAGGTCCTTCCTCCTTCTATATGTAATTTTATTGCTAGCCTTGTTCTCCCTTTGATGAATCAAGATGAGGATCAATTTTTTTGGAGATTGTCTAATAATGGTATTTTTTCAGTCAAATCAGTCTATTCTTTTCTTGTTGGTCAATACTTAAGTGGGCAAGCTGATAATCATATTTTTAAACTTGTTTGGGATTGGGAGGGTCTCCCAAAAATTAATATTTTCCTTTGAAAAGTTTCTCATGGTAAGCTTTTGACTAATGAGGAAAGATATAGTCACAAAATGTCCTGTTCCCCTTTGTGTACTAGGTGTTATGAAGCTCCTGAGACAATTGTTCATGTTCTCAGAGATTGTAATTGTGCCTCCCAAATCTAGAACTGGTTTATTCCTCCTGACCAATGGTCTTCTTTTTATAGTCTTGGTCTTCATAAATAGCTGAAGTTTAATCTGTCCAATAGCCAGTTTACCTTATTTCTATCCTGGAGTAAATTGTTTGGTATAATTAGTTGGAATCTTTGGTGTAATAGGAACTGTGTGGTTTTTCAAAATTCTCCTTTATCCTATGATGCTTTGTTGAACAAAATAATTAATAATTTTGACTGTATGGTTCTTTGTGACAGGGGCAACCAGAATCATAGTGCTGATGGTTTGGAACCTAGAAGCCTTGTTAAGTGGATTCCTCCTCCAAGGGATCAACTCAAGCTAAAACACTGATGAAGCTTCTCTTTTTTCTGCTAGCAGTTCTAGCTATGGGGTTTGCTGCGTGATCATAAGGGCACCTTTCTAGCTAGGTTTTATAAGGTGCTCCCTCCTTGTTCCCCCATTGCTGCAGAACTTTGGAAAATTTATTGGGGTCTTGAGAATGTTGTCTCTAGGAATATCAATGTAATCTGGGTTAAATGTGATTCTAAGGATGCTATTTCGTTAGTAACTAATGTTCAAAGTAGTGCTCATCTGTTATTTTTTATCATTGATAAAATTAGGAACATTCTTAGGAGATTTAAGTTTGTTATGCTAAATCATATTTTGAGTGAGGCCAACTATTGTGGTGATTGGTTGGCTAAACATGAGTCGAAGGATGGTATATCTTGTTTTACTAGGACTCTCCCTTTCTTTGATCCCCTTCTAATACTGAATTCTTTAAAAGTTTCTTGACTTAAAGTGTTTGCTTAGACTTTTGTACTTTTTTGAACTTTTTGCTTCGTTTAATATAAAAAAAATGTATACTAACAAAAATATAAAAAAACATTAACTAGATAAAATATTACTTTTTCTACTTTGATATTTTTATTTTTTTACATTGTATTGGTGAAATCCATGTTGTCAATATAATATGTTTTATTTAAATAGTAAAAAATTATAAAATGGCATCAAAGGTAGGAGATCATAAATTAAATTAAAATAATTTTTATTATTAAAAAATCTAATTATAATGAGAAAAAGTTTTTAAATTATACAACTTGAAAAAAAATAATTTTCAAAATTTAAAATTTTAGTAATTTAAATTAGCAATTATTAATTATATTAATTTTTATTATTAAAATATATTAAAATTAAATAATAAAATAATGATTTGTCACGTTAAGTGACTAACAGTTCATTTTAAATATTTAACATTGTTTTATAATCTTTTAAAATTATTTTATTTTCATTATTGATATTTAGTATTTTAGTCATTATATATATTTTTTTAAAAGGTGGAAATGATAAAAAAAAATGAAAATAATGTAATATAATAAAATAAAATAAAGTGAATCAAGTGTTTAGCAGCCCTGGAGCCGAGTAGTCCACGGCCAAATTTTAGGCTTATTTTGTAGGCGTAAGGTTTATGCTCAATCTTGTAGGGCTTACACGCATAATTTTTGTGGGATGTAGCTTGCCTCAACTATTTATTTTTTTCTTGCAGTTTCATGTGCCATGATCAATTTCACCTACGGTTTTATTTATGTGATTAAATCATTTGAATAATTGACAAAAATAAGTTGAATAAAAAAATAAAAAAATTAAGTCGGTTATTTAAAACAATAATAAAATTTAAGTCAAATCGTCAAAATAATATCATTATTAACTTTATTTATACTATATATTTAAGGAGGGCAAATAAGATACCTAGAAGAAGTAAGGAAAAATTGTCCAATGTGATCAGACATAAAAACCCATGTCAATTGTGTGTGCCTCGTGTTATTTTTAGCTTTATTAACTTAATATTAAGTGCATAGTTATATATCTTCAATTCTAGTTGAAATTCATTGTCCTAGATATTTAAATAAAATTATCACAATTAATATTGATTAACTCGTAATTTTTTATATATAAAACGAAATGCCTTTGATTTTTTTAATTTTATTATAGGATACATTGAAGTAGAAGTTATTTCATTAAGCCAATTTGTTTTTTTTTTAATCTCAAACAAAGAATAAATAAATTAAACAAAACTTGGAATTTTAATTTATACGTAGAATCATTAACTATTCTACATGGACTTCATTTATCTTGGAATTCAAGATACAGATATGTTATTTGTGAATCAGATTGGAATCAAAGTTTTCAGCATACTCTTGGTGAAGGAAACTTTGGTGCTAATCGGTTGGTCAAAAATGGGTGCTACTTCCATTCAGAAAATTGTTCTCAAGGATTGTTAGATTTAAATCCTAGTATGTGTTCTTTAGTTTCTGATTGAGAAAAAAAATAAATAAACAAAACTTGGACTAGAATTATAATAAACCATTATTTTATTAATTTAATTGGCACTAATACGAAAAATTTATAGTTGTATGTATTTTATGCTATCTTTAATGCCAATAATTGATGTATAGCAACATGTCATTGTCACCTCTTGTAGGGAAGAGAGAAGTTTTAGTATAACTAATCATTAAAAAAAAAAAAAACTTCCTAGAAAGTTCATGACGAATTTTAAACAAGTCAAACATGTTAATATTTTAGATTTATTTGTTGTGATTTCTTAAATATTTTTATGGGACAAAACAAATATTTTGGGGTTATTAAATTTGCACAAAGAGGAGAGTAAGAGGGGTGCCAATGTTTTGAAAATTAGACTAGTCTTTAATTTAAACCATTAAAGGCATTATTAGCTCAATTAAAGAAAAACTCTCAATATTATTGTGATTGATAGAGGCACACATGCATGTTGAAGGTTGTCAACAAAGACAAACTTTTCATCCTATGCTTTTTCTTGAGAAATAGACAATACTTGCATTGGCTTCTCCGCTCAACAGAGGTTGAGACAAAAGATGATGTGATCGAGCTTGAGAGAGATAAGAACAAAAAAATTATTTTAATATTTAAATTTACAAAAATTTTACTTTAATCATTACTATTAATTACAAAAACGATTTATAATATTTTTATTTTGCATAAAAAAGAATTAAAGTGATTGTTTTATAAAATAAAGGCCATGCTTATAACCGGAAGAAACTTAAATGAGGATTTGGTTCACGAAAATGACTTGAGAATTTTCATAAAAACCAAATAATAAATTAACAATAACATCGTATTCATTATAAATTAATAATAATAAAAACAAAAGCGTGGCTCAAAACACCAAATGGGGTAAAATCGTGAACCCATCGATATTTTATGATTCTAAACTGGACCAATTCAATATGTAATAGCTGGGTCAGCCTTTTAGATTTAATTATTAATAATTAATTACTACTCTAGATTTGTTTCCAGTTATGGCTAAGTAAATAGGTAATGCTTTTAGAGTATAAATGGTAAATTGCTTTTATAGGACTTTGAAGCCATGTTTAAAATCACATTTACACACAAGTTACGGTTAGTAAAGTTAAAATAAACGTAAATTCATAATTAATTAGATAAATCTTAAAATCCTTTTATGAGATATAGTTTTATAGTTCAATTACGTGCATTGATTAGAAAAGTAAATGGTTGTCTTTGGGTACTTCTTTTTTTTAATCCTTCATTTGGATGGCATGAGATGGACAATGCTTCGCACTTCTGTTCTTGGGTTCAAATGAGTGTTGTCTGAAATGATCTAACTCCGGGTTGAATTATTTCAAGACAATTGAAAACTATTTAATTGTCACTTAATACTAATATACATATTTTTAAAAAATAGTTTGACTAGTTGTTATAATAAAAAATTAATTTTATTAAAATACTTATATTTAAAGTGTTAACATTATTATAGTAGTTAGATGACAACTAGTTTTAAAATTATTTTAATTGTTAGGTGATAAAGACCTTCCTTATTACACAAGGGTATTATTGAGAAAAAATAATAAATATTTTTAAATATTTTAAAATGATAAATATTTTAAAATAAATAAAAATATTCCAAGTTATAATTAACGTGAGACAGAGAAATTACTGTTTAAGACTTTTGAAGGCTAATAATATGAAAATCCCATTCACTTCTATGTACAACTGAAAATGATACATTAACGTGGTCCAAAATTATGGTTTCTTTTCCAGATTGTTATAAGTGGAAGTTCTATAATCAACATCAACTCATGATTTTTCTTAAAACTCTTTTACAAAAGTTCAGATCGAGTAAGTTTATGAATAAGTTCTTTTGAGAGAAAAAAATAATTAAAAAATATTTTTTTATAAATTAAAAATAATTTATCTTTCTAAATTTTAAGAGATTTAAATGAGATTAATTTTTAAAAATAAAAAAATACAAGTTAATTTTAACTTATAAAAAGAATTTAATTCATATTATTTAATTTTTTATACTTAATTTATTAAAAAACTTATCTAAACTGAGCTTAATCATTTCTCATCTTGGCTATAGATGGTGGAAAGTTTGGTTGTTTTTCCAAGTGAAACTTGCTGAGTATAAACATGTACTTACTAAAAAGTCATTTGTCATACAACATCTTAAATTTTATGAGGTTCCTCTATGTGATCTCACAAATAATTTTCTTATACATAGTTGATCTTTTTGGTCTTTTTCTTCTGTGATTATGACAGTAGATCACCACTTGCAGTTCATAAAACTTATGGTCAATTCCTTTAAATCTGCACCTGACTTTCAAGTAGCACACCGTTTTACATACGGTGATCTAGTTGATGTGGAACCATTGAAATCCATACAGCCTAAAAGACTTAATAGTCACTATTATCATATTTAGTGCTTGTTTGTTTTGCCGTTGCTCCAAGCCAAGATTGATTTTCAACAAAAATCAATAAAAAGAATGTTTTCTTAAAAGAACATAAAAATACTTGTACTTTTATGTTAGATGATGCATTTTAAGATATTTTTTTTTATAAAACATTATTAATCATCAAATTTTTAATCAATATAGGAGACTTATAAAAAAAGTTATGCACGCTTTAAGGAAAATTTGAAAATGCTTGAAGACAGTAGCAACAGGGTTTTTAGTGAATTGTCAATGCAAGAAAGCATTATATATCTAAAAGTTGTTGGGCTATGAACCAGTGTTTTTCTTTCTTTACGAGTAAAATGATAATTTTCATATGATGGTTCGTTAATTAGTGTATAGGTAAGCTACAATGTTGTGATTTAGTTGGGTTATTGGAGAGACCAAAAAATCAATTTTCTATACCTTGGCCGGCTTGGCCTCTTCCCAATCATGCATGTTTGTTACAACTAACTCTAATTAAAGTTTCTTTGGTTCCGCTCTCACTCAATTACTCCACTTTCACGTGCATCATGTATTTATTACTTCTTACAGTATCTTATGTGTTAGAGTTGATCATGCTCATGTTGTGCACCAAAACCACGAAAACTATTTCAAGATATGACTAAAGTTGCAAATGATTTTTAAAGGTTTAGACATGGAGAATTGAGATTTCTTTTTCTGAATCCATGTGGGACACAAATGTCTAGAATTTTCATGATACCAAAGAAAACTGTTTGGTTTACTATGTTTTCTTATGTATCATGCAGGCAGGTTCGCTTGAACCATAGTGGAAGAAAGCTTCATGTTTTGGGCGTGGAGAGAAAAAGTTTGATTTAAGTTTTACTTAAATTATGGGTAACATAAATGGAAGGAAACAAAATACACGGTGTGTCACCGTGACACAGCTAACATAAAAGCCTGTCCAATACAAATATATATCCCTTAGCTGTTGAAAGGCATTGCCCACAGAAAGCCACCAACCATGTTTCCAAATTCCCACGCCTAATAAAATAGTGTCCATATTGGCATTGTACAATATAAATGGGGCCAAGAAAGTGTAAAAGTGAAATTGAAGAGACCCTAAACAGAGGGCAAAAAATAAACTTGCCAATTAGAAGAGAAAATTTGTGATAGCGAAAGGGAGATCTTATCCAATTAAGTAACCGTAGGATTGGGATGTTTGAATCATGTTAATTGCGTGCTTATCAAAGTTATTTGTACTAGTCAACATTCATTTAATCCATTTGAGGTCATCCACTTTTGGCGGCTTCGCAATTGAGTTAGTGAACCATAATCCAAGCGTTTATGCTCCAAATCTGTATATAATTATCAAAATCGTTTTCTTTGTATGATAAGTTTCAGATATCTTAATCTTATAAAACTGTTAGTTCTTTCTTCTTTTTAAGTTCCGTATTTAAGGTATATGTGATTTTCCCCCATCTTTTTTGGTACATCGAAATGGAAATAGTTGTTGAAACTATCATAAAATGTCAAAAGCCAAGGACGACTTTTCTACACTAAATAAAATTTCAACCAACATCAGTGATGATACGTAACCCAAGATTTATGCTTATTAAAGACAGTAAACGGAATATCCTAAATAAATTAACTCGTGGTAGCTTTTATCATAAAGTCATCGTTACTATAATTAATTGATTAATCAATTAATTAATTTCATAGTATTAATTATTAACTTTTAGACTAGCACAGCACGTATTCTTCTGGCGTTGTTCATATTAGATGATGTGGTTCCAGGCTATTTCTTTTATTTATTTATTTTTCACAATAGCAAAGTGAGCACTGAACTGGGACCAAATAATTGCAAATCACATACGCGTAGCCCCTGAAATTTATCATGGCAACGTTGTAAAAGATAAGCTTTAACAAAGGAGAATAAAGAAAAATTAAAATAAAGGAATTGTCCTTAATATTAAATATAAATTGGACAAGTACCAAACCGAAGAGTGATTCTCAAATATAATTGATTGGTACAACGAATATTTTAATGCAATCGTGGATGACCATCATGTATCATTCACAACCAAGTCCACAACAACCCTTACCAATTTGCAGCGGCACCAACTTGATCAAGCCAGTGCCAACCAGTTCATACAAAGTCATTAAAATGATAATGATGATACTCAAAATATTATTCACAAAAATATGCAATTAAAGCTGTTAACCATTTTTTATATGTTGTTTCTGACTTAAAACCTCTGCTGTAAAATATTATTTAACCAGCAGCAGGAGGTGGACTAAAACAAATTGGCTGCTGATACTTTTAATTACATAAACACATGCTTTGTCAACGAATGAATTTGACCATGTAATACACACAACAATAATAAATTGTCAACTATATAGCCCCAAAAGATTAGAGGCACGCCAGAAATCCGTGTCAATAAATAAATAAATAAATAACAAAAAAAGGAATAAAAACGCAGTCAAAATTCAAAACCAGGGGAGTTGTATATTATTCATGGCTAGCCAGCAGACCCATGTTTGGTTGATTGAACAAGTTTTGAGTTTGGCTCGTAGAAAACAAAACCTCTAATTGTTTATGGATAAATACTCATACATATCGTGTTTTTTTTAATGATTATATAATTTTTTTTTGGTTCCGTCATCTCCAATGAGAACTCAACTTCTTCTTCTCCGTCCCACCCTTTAACATCAATCATCAATTGCCCATTGCGTTTTGACAATAAACATGGCGATTTCTCCTCAAACATTCTCAACCGGAAAACGACGACCATCAGGGGGGTCGTTTATCTCTCCGAAACTCACCGACGTCAACCTTCTTCACTCTTTGCTTCACCTTACGCACCGGATATGTTCTTTCAACCTCACCCACACCACACACTTGCTCCTCAGCCGCACTTCCTCCTCCACCATCCGCAAAACGCAGCTCCTCGGTGTCGTTTTCGAAGACCTGTTTCGATTTTCGAATTCCAATTCGATTTCGACTTCGACTTCGACTTCGACTTCAGCTTCAACCTCTCTCTGCTCTCACTCTCTCTTCCTTTGCCTCGAGGAAATGTACATCTTGCTGCACAGGATCAAAACCCTAATTGAAGATTGCTCCAACGGAAGCAAATTCAGCTTACTCATGCAAATCGAAACCATCGCCGACACCTTTCACAAGCTCAACGGAGAACTATCCACGCTTCTCGATATCTTCCCTCTCCAAGAGCTCGACCTAAACGAAGACGTTCGCGAACTGGTTCTCCTAATCAGAAAACAGTGCTCCGAATCCAAGCCGTCCATCGGCAAGGAACAAACCGATCTAAGAAACGACGTCGTTTCGGTTCTCGACCGGATCAAGGACGAGATTGTTCCCGATCAGGCACACCTTTCTTCGATCTTCGAGAAACTGGAGATTCGCGATGCTTCCAGTTGCAGAGCGGAGATTAAGAACCTGGAGGAAGAGATTCACAATCGGAGCGAAGAGCATTCGAAAGCGGATATCGTCGCGTTGATCGGCCTCGTTCGTTACGCCAAGTGCGTTCTCTTCGGCGCATCCACTCCCTCACCGCGAAACGAGACTCTCAGGCGGAATCAGTCGTCGGAGTTAGCGGTTCCGGCGGATTACCGGTGCCCGATAAGCCTAGAACTGATGCGAGACCCTGTCGTGGTGGCAACGGGACAAACGTACGATCGTGCATCAATCAAGCTCTGGATGGATTCTGGACATAACACATGTCCCAAAACTGGTCAAACATTATCGCACACCGACCTTATCCCCAATCGTGCTCTAAGGAACATGATAGCAATGTGGTGCCGTGAGCAGAGAATCCCCTTCGAAGCAGAAACAGTTACCGGAAAACTCAACGGCGGCGTAACTAACAAGGCTGCGTTAGAAGCCACGCGAATGACGGTGTCGTTTTTGGTCAACAAGCTCAAAGTTCCTTTGCCTCTTGATCAGTCCATGGGAGACACGATCGGTGTCGTTTACGAGCTTCGGGTTCTGGCGAAAACAGATTCGGATAGCCGAGCCTGTATCGCGGAAGCTGGAGCCATCCCGCTTTTGGTTCGGTTCCTCAGCTTCGACGTGGGCATTCACAGCCCAAGCCTCCAGGTTAACGCCGTCACGACGATTTTGAACCTCTCGATTCTCGAAGCGAACAAGACGAGGATAATGGAGACTGACGGCGCGTTAAACGGCGTTGCGGAGGTCTTACGTTCGGGTGCCACATGGGAGGCGAAAGCCAACGCGGCGGCTGCGGTTTTCAGTTTATCGGGTGTGCCAGCGTACAGGAAAAGGCTCGGGAGGAAAACACGTGTCGTGAGCGGGTTGGTTGATTTGGCGAGGGGTGGGCCCGAGGGGGCGAAGAAGGACGCGTTGGCGGCGATACTGAACCTTGCGGCGGATAGAGAAACGGTGGCGAGGTTGGTGGAGGGAGGTGCGGTGCAGATGACGGCGGAGGTGATGGCGGCGATGCCGGAGGAGGCGGTGACGATTCTGGAGGCGGTGGTGAAGAGGGGAGGGTTGGTGGCGGTGGCGGCGGCTTACGGGAGCATAAAGAAGTTGGGAACGGTGTTGAGGGAGGGGTCGGAGAGGGCGAGGGAGAGCGCTGCGGCGACGCTGGTGACGATGTGTCGGAAGGGGGGTTCGGAGATTGTGGCAGAGCTGGCGGCGATTCCCGGCGTGGAGAGGGTGATTTGGGAGTTGATGGCGGTGGGAAGTGTGAGAGGGAGGAGGAAGGCGGCGACGCTGTTGAGGATTTTGCGGCGGTGGGCGGCGGGGTTGGACGGCGGAGACACTGAAGGGTTCTCAACTACCATGGTCAATTCCTCAACTACTGTGGTTGTTCCAACTTCCACTTCTTTAGCACAGTAACATTTCTCTATTATTATTAATCAATTCCAATTTGTAAATGTCTCAAAAGTTGTTGCCCATTGTTTTTTTCTTTCTTTGATTGATTTTGCCGTCCATGTAAAAGGTAATCTATGGAGCATTTTTAATATTTTTAAAGAAAAATTTTTTGGGATTCTTTCACCAGCTGGTGTTGAATACTGTGGCAGTATATTCTTAATGAGCTCTTTGTAATATAGCATTGGAAATTTGAGTACTGAACAACTTTCCATTATATTTTGCACTTTTTAATATGGCGTAGGCATTTTACGAATCTTATGAAATGTGTTGATACTTCGATTTCTATGTTTTATTGGAATGGGATCTTTTCATTTGAATTCAAAACTCGTAATCGTAATAAAAGTTGCTAATGCAGCATAAGAGATGCAAACAACAGGAGAGAGGGTTTTGGGGTATAAGAAGATGTTTGCATGTGTGTGTGACATGTTCCTGCGATAAACTTGGAATACTGTTGAAGTTGTTCTGGAACATACTCAATTTTCAACTCAAGTACCATGTCGTGTGGCATCATCTGACGGAAAGTTTTAAGACAGTTATGTCAAGATCCATGATTTAGGCATAAAGTCAACCAAATGCAACTACTACTGAAGTCAACTGGATATTTTGCTTTTGTGTCTGGGCTAGCGGTGAAGCCCAACCTTTAATGCCCAATATCTTCTTACCTCAGAACTTCATGGGCCTTAAATAGCGAAATTCGGGCTTATGTTTCACTTTCTCATCCTGTCATCCAAGGGCAACCCCTGCGTGTTGTACAAGTGCAAGACTTTGAGAGAACCAAACACAGATTCATTTTGAGTTGAACATGAATCGCAACCAAAGAATAAAAAAAGTTAATTGTTCATTACCATCAATCAGATAAAACAAACTAGAACCCATGAGCCTATCTCACTTGATTGGCAAAATTGTTTGCTGGTATCGAGTAAAAGGTTCAACGCTCCTTAATCCAACATTCATTTCTCATTTTCCTAAATCTTATTTTCCCTCCCTGGCTTCTAAGCACCCCTCTAGTGATGGCAGCTTACTATAGGCTCTGCCAAGGTCGTCACAAACAAGGTGGATAACTCTGGCACGAGGTACATTCTTTGTCCTTCCTAAAAATAAAGAAGAAAGTAATATATTTCGACCATGACAATTACACTCTTTGGTCCCCTCTTTAATCAATCCATTTCATTCTTGATTATGCATAGATTCCAGTTTTGACACGCAGACACCACCTAGACCGTCAAGATGGCCTCTAGTCTTGTACCTTTCCATGCAATATGAAGGGGGACCAGTTGACCATTTTTTTACTCCATCTAATTTTATTTACAAGATTCCTCACAAAATCATAGTTAAGAAAAGTTATTAAAAATAGTTGATGCATTAATTTTGAAAAATTAATTACAATATTTTAAACTTATCTCTATTTAAAGTCAAATTCTATAATTATATTAATTGTTAAGAAGTTTAAATGACTCAAATTTATAAAAGGTAAGTATTATGCCTAAAAATAATAAGTGCTTCCAAAATTTTAATAAAGATCTTACATAAAAAAATTAACCCCAATTTTATGATATTAATTAAACGATAAAAAATGACAGTTATGCTACTAAATACTCTCAAATACAAAGTAGCAAACCCCAATCTTTTATACAAGCTTTTAGGAGGAAATATAATGCATATACATCATACATATTTATTTCTTACCTGTTTAGTCATCGCTAAGCGGGAGTATTTATTTCCTCAGTACGATTCATGTTCACTAAGGTACTAATATCATTGAAAATTCTAGGGATTTGAGTTGACATCAATGTCAATTTCATATCTGGGGTGTCCAGGTAAGCAATCCATCATGCACCTGAACTTTCTTTTCCCTTTGCATTATGGGATTCCATTTTGTACTACTTTCCCCTTGCAATGTGGGAATTCATGATATTTTGCTTTGGTTGAAAATTGATTCGTTTTCTTTACCTAAGAGACATGGTACGTCAAGGGCTTGCCAAGAAAACGATGGATACACATGGGGCCAAACTGAAGTTCTAGACTATATAGCAAACCCATGTTCTAATTTCCATAACCATGAAATAGAAACAATAATAAGAAAGAACACAACAAAATTGTGGAGTGATCCAAAGTTACATAATCTCTTTACTAGATGGGCCACTTAGATTTTCTACATTTGGATGCATGAAATCCTGACCCACAACAAGCTTCTACTCCCTAAAGTTTCTTTCTTTTCCATGCCACTCCAATTCTTTTCAAGGTTTCTCTCTTTGACTCCCTCCCTTTCTTGGCAGAACAAAATTTTAACCAAAATTGAATTCCTTGCAGATTGCACTTAATGAGCCAATGAGCATGGTACATATAATAGCATTGTTCCCACTTTCTAAACTATACACTTCTTTTTTACAATTTCATTTTTTTTTTCTTTTTGTTACAACTTACAAAAGTGCTTTTTACTTTACACTAGAGAATAACCAACCACTTGGTTAGTTTTTCTTGTTAACTTTGGTGTAAGTGCCTGCTAGCTCCCATGCATCATGCATGTCTCTTACACTGGCAATGAAAGAATTTCTTTCCCATGATGGGCCACGTTGAATGTGGGCTAATTGTAGTTTTGCCATGAGACATTAAGTCAGCATGTAATCCACGTGGAGAAAGAAGCTGTGCCCAAAGCCCAGAAGGCATAAAATTCCTGCAAAAGAATCGCCTACGTGGAAGGGTTGGTGTTTGTTAAAGGGGCAGACCGAAATAGAAAAACAGTGATTACGGTGATTATTTAACAAAACATATTTTGTTTGGTTTAGGTGTTAATTAGTGTCACAATCCCACATTGTCATTCACCACCTATGCCCCACTCATTTTGCCTTTATTCGAACCTTTTTTTCTCTCTTGTGGACCCAATCCCTACTACATTACTACCAATTCTGAAAGCCCCCCTCTCTATTTATTATCCTACAAACAAAGAGTGCCAAAATAGACATTGATAGAGTTATGTAATGTCCATCCACCCCACATCACAGAGACAACCAGAAACTAGAAAATATTCATTAGCTTCACAAACACACACACATACAGAACAAAGGAACACACGCACTCATACAAACACATTGAGTGAGTGTGTGAGAGAGAGGATGGGGAATTACAGGTTTAAGTTATCAGATATGATTCCAAATGCTTGGTTTTACAAGCTGAGGGACATGGGAAAAGTAAGAAAACAAACCACAACACCCTCAAAGAAAAAAATGCAATCTTCATCACCCTCAACCTCACAATCATCAAAACCAAAACAACCCCACCAACAATGCAACAACCCCAGAAAATCCTACTACTTCACAAGAGAACTTAACCCAAAAGTCCCACCCCACAATTCCCCTGAACCCCCAAGAAAATCATCATCAAACAAACGAAGAACCAAAAGAAGAACCACTTATTCTCCTTCCCCCAAACTCGTCACTCCCATCACTGTCTCCGCAGGCTGTAGCTGCCGCACCACCCTTGAATCCATGTGGACCAAATCAGATTCCCCACCAGAACACTCTTCTTCATCACCATTTGATAGCTCCAACGAGTCAGAATTCCTAGACCCAGAATTCAGAACAGACCGTGTTCTTCCCACTGAGTCATTTGATGAAATGGTTTCCTTGTCCACCACTTCTTGTGCCTCTTGCAAGCACAACAACAACAACACCACCAAAGACATCATCATCAATGTGGACAACAACTCCATAGCAAGAAAAGATGATAAGCTTGATGGCTATTACAATGAATATGACACCATGTCAGAGCTTGAACTTCCTCCAATCATAACCAAACCACCCAAATTCAACGACTTGTTGTTAACCCACAAGAGAGAACCAAAACCCAGAAGGAGAATCTCAACATATGAAGAAAAAGGGTCCTTAAAGGTTAAAATTTTGAAGGAAGACACTGTATCAATGAAGGAACAGAGGAATGGTTCTATTAGAAGGTTCTCTGTGACTTCACCAGGTGTTAAGTTAAGGGTCCACTCACCCAGAATTGCAGGCATTAAAGTGCAGTCTCATGGCCGGAAAAGCGTCTCGTCGACGGTAAGTTCCGGCTCCCGGAGAAGCCTCTCCGATAGCTTTGCAATTGTGAAGTCTTCATTCAACCCACAAAAGGATTTTAGAGAGTCAATGGTGGAGATGATTGTGGAGAACAACATAAGGGCCTCTAAGGATTTGGAAGATCTACTTGCTTGCTACCTTTCTCTCAATTCAGATGAGTATCATGATCTCATCATCAAAGTGTTCAAGCAAATTTGGTTTGATTTGACTCAACCAAGGTAGAGATTATAATTTTAAACAATGTTGCAGTTGTAGCTATATAAAAATATGGTTTTTAAATTGCAATATTAAGGTCGCAATTATGGTTGTGGATGCAATTTGAAACCTTACAAAAAAATTCTTAATTAGTTTCTTAGATTTCTATATCTCAAATAAATTTATCTATGTAATTATGCATGTAATATATTTCGGTAAGTTAAATAGTCTCTGATGCCAAGGTAAGTGAACATTTGATCATGGTAGTCTTAAAATTTTCACTAGCTTTTATGTTTTCAATTTCAATAGCAAATTTGACTGAAGATGCCGAGAGAAGCAATTGCACCATGTCAATTTGTTTTCTTACTTTTCTATTTTATTGAAGGAATTGTGATCGATGAATATACTACGTAATTTTCTCTGTAAGGACTTGGCAAATAATTGTCACTAAGGGAATTCATTCATTTATAGTTTAATATTTTATGGGCATGTAAACGTGTAAAATGGTTTCTACTTTTTACACGGAGATTGTTCATATTTCCTTTCGTGTGTGCATAGAAAGGCCAAAAATTTGGGCATGTTGGTTTTGGGTGATTTTACTCAAGAAACTTCAAGCACCAAATTTGCGTCTGAAATTTAGTACCCTCATAAACCTAAAGTGGTTTGGGAACAGGACATAGAACTACACAAAATTGTATAAATAGTGAACACCTAGGGGTCCCTCATCAGCACCATATGCAATAACTGACAGCTTCTTCTATTGAACTTTGGATTTTTTTCACCCTAAAGAAGTTGCCCTTTAAGTACAAGCTCTATATTTCACGTCTTTGCTCACACATTTTAAAAGGCTTGGCTTATGCTTATCCCCAAGCCAGACCATGCAGCTTTTAAGATCTCGCATGCCCATTTTCCACCTCAACAAACACATTGTGAAACCTTCAGAATTCAAAGGTGGAGGAAAAAGGTTTCAATGCCGTACACCAATTTAAAATGTTAGAACATTTTTTTTCTGACTACCAACGACATCAAAATTCAAATTGTTACACTGTTGCCTTGCGTTAAAACCTATGAGCAGTGGAATAAACAAAAAAGCTCTCTAATTTCTTGAAGTTTGATTTTCAAAAGGTAAAGTTACTTCGATTATTTCAAAAGTAGATGCAGACTTTAACCACAAAGGCATAGAGGTGATCCAGTTAGGACTTGGGACTTTTTCTTGTGCCATAGGATTATACTAGTTTTCTAACTTAGTGCCACGAATAGTTCACACGGTTTCTCAAGCCTAATAACGGGTTTTGTTATTTTTATTTCTAAAAGATTATTTAAGCATTTAAAAATAATGTTGACTTTAACTATCTGAATGGAATTGCCTCATTTACGTGGATATAAGATTATTGTCCAACACTTAAAAGGTTGTACCAATTGATAATGTTGTCGCTTTCTAGGACAAAGGGGAGGTTCTAACTTGACAAACTGCTCAAAAGATGAGGAAAGGCTGAAATTATTCAAATTGGTTAATCATGTTTCTGAGATTTTCCAGTAATTCTGGCAGGACCAACCTAACTTTAAGATCTCACTTTTGTCGCGGTAAAAAACTTTCTCATCTCTGTTCTCTCATACTTTAGTATTTAAAATTATAAACTTTAATTAATTTCATTTTAATTTTATAAAAAATTCACCTTAATTTATAACATTTTAAAAATTACTCATTTTATTTTTTATTCGTTTCTTTTTTATTTTATATTAAAAAGGATTAAAATCATTATTATTTTATAAAATTAGAAATTGAAATTTTAAAAATGTATATTCTGTAGCTTGATTAGTCTCTTTAAGGGGACAAAGAGGACCCACATAATTGGTTTAGACAAAGTGACGTGATATTTGGTTGAAAAATTTACATATGTTTGAGCGCCATAATATAATGTGCACGTTAAAATGGGGGGTCACATAATCTCATCTTAGTAAATTTTTATAAAATCACAAAATCTTTAGCATTGAATTTTTCTATAAAAAAATCAAAAACTTTTTTTTCAGGAAAAAAAAACTGTCTGAACCGATTCATTAGTACCAGATATAGTCAATTTTAACTTTTTTTAACCTAATTTTAAAAATATTCCAGAATGATGATCTGCCAATTTTTAGATCAATAGTCAAACTAACCAATTCAATTTAGTTTAAATATCACAATTAACTCACTAACTATAATAAAAAGGCAAAAACCATATGATTGATCCCTATTTTCTTTTATTTTTTTCTTTGACCCTCGAAATTTTGTATATTTAATTTTTTAAAAACATTTAATCAGTTGGTCCTTCTTTTTATTTTCTTAACTCTATAAATGGTGGTGTTAGTTGACTTGTATTTAACTTAATGTTATTTATTTTAGTCATTAAACTTTTAAAAATCTTTTTTTTTCTATTTTTTAAAATATTTTTTTCTTTTTAAAATTAAAATAAAATAAATTTTTTGATAACTTAAGCTTTTTTTTTTCTTAATTTTTAAAGTTTTTTTCAATATAATTTTTAAAAATTAAAAACTAAAAGAAAAACAAACAAACCCTATCACATTGGTCCTTTTGTTGATTTTTTATTTTCTTCTTTTTCATGTTATTATGCAATAATGAGTTAAAAATATGAATGAAAGTAAATTAAAACACTTCTTAAAAATACTGTTTTTAATTTTAAAAATAAAAATAATTGATTTTTTCTAAAAAATACTCTCTGATTTTTTATAGAAATAAAAAAATTATTAAAATAAATAAAAATAATTATATATTATATATTTATAGTACATTTTATAAATATACGTAGCACGGAGTGAATATATTACTTATGTAATGAGTGAGTTATTGTTTACACACAAATATTACATTAAAAAAATTAAAATTAAAATATTTAGAATGACTCTTATTTCTTATAATTAAAATCTTAATAACCTTTTTAATAAAAAAATTGAAAAAATTAAAAAAAATAATTATATCGTACAAAATAAATTAAAACACTTTAAATAAGACATTCAATTAATTTATTTCTTTCTGAGCATATTACTTTCTTTTGATTAAAAAAATAATTTAAATTTTTCATAATATTAAATTACATACCGATATGTCCTACCATAATTATTTGTGTAGTTCAAATTTTAAAAAATAGTATATTTATGTGAACACCTATAGTTTTTAAAATATTTTTGTACTCTGTTTAATTATATACTATAATTAATTTTACTAACAAATGATAGTTCGAGTGACAAGTGGCTCAATATTATTTAAATAAAATTTTAGATTCAAATTTTTGTGTATGCAAAAAATTTCTGTAATAAGTTTATTTATCACATTCAGATACGCAATTCAGGTTGAATCCAAATTAAACTGAATTAAACTGAATGAGAAAAAAAAATTACTATAGTTAATTTTTTTACCAAAATATATATACATTTAAATATGAGTTATAATTAAAATTTTGAACACATTTTAATATGGCGAGGACGAGAATGATAAATAGTTATTTGACCTAAATAATTTTTTAAAATTATTTTAAATTTACTTAATAGGATATAATAATATGATATTTCTAAATTGTATTTTTTGAAAAATAAAAAGATATAAGTAAAATGTGTAAATGAAATTTTTTAATCAATATAAAATAATTTTAATGAGTGATCTTGATTTACTTTTAAGATTGAGACATTCATAATCATTATTACAAAATATTGAAATTATTTTAAAAAAAAAGAAAAAAATTCAATCAAAGAAACCATTTACTAGTCTTTAAAAAGTTAAAAAATTTGGACCAAATATAATTAAGTTAAATATGAAGTTAACAGATACCTTCAAAATATACTTATACGTAATTATATCATAATAAATGCGATTATATTAAAAGGCATGTGGAAAGGGGAAAACAGGGACAGGGTACAAGACAGTATATATATTATATAGTATATATATGACAATTCATATCACGTCTTTAACTTTGTAAGGATATTATATAAAGCATGACAGCTCAAATTCACTTTTAATGCTGTCTTTTCCCCAAATGTAATAATGATTGAAGTCCCAAGCTCTTGGTTTTATGTGCTCTCCACTGTCATGTGTTCAAAGAATGGCATATCCCTATGTTAGCATATAAAATGCTTTAACTCAATATTTGTTGTTAGTCATTTCACGTCATGAAAATAATATTTTAAAATTTTAAAACAATTTTTATTTAATTATATTTTGTTATACTTTTTTTAATGAAAAAAGCATATTACAAATAATAATAAATAAATATCCCTGTATTTGTTGCGTCATAAAGCAATAAATTGTCTTGAAAAGAGTTAGCAAATTATAAAATCCTATTTTTTTATAATATAATATTATTAAAATAATAATAAACCTATTTTACATTTTATTTATTTTACAAATTATTTATAAATTACTGAATTTTTAATTTTTATTTATTTTTTACTTTTAACTAACTTATTTACTACTTTCTTCAAAATAATCTGTAGTGTACGACAATTTATAATCTCTCCGACACGTTTAACAAAAACAATAACTAAAGCTTTTTTTTCTTTTATTTTACTCAATATTGTGTTTCTTCCCTTCTTTAAATGGCTTTACTCGCACGACCTTATGCTTTATTTTTTATTTATATCTATATTCTTACATAAATTTAGTTAAATTATACTCATTCTTTTAATTTAAAAAATCAAAATATATCGATATAAGAATATATTATATTGATTTTAATATACATAAATAATGTATTTAATATTTTTAAATTAATTTTATTTTATAGATTATAATATATATGATAATTTTTTTAATATAACTATTAATTTTAAAATAAAGTAATTAACACAAGTTATCAAATAATATAAAAATAAGTATATTAATTATTTAAGGATGGTATAAAAAGTAAATTTTCTCTGCCTAATCATTAGAGCAATAAAGAAATTATTACGTTTACAATCGCCTAATTTTTTTATTAAATTAATTATTTTATTGAACTGACATAAAAATTAATACTACTAAAATTTGTAATACA